GAACGCAGGAAGATCATGTAAAATTTATAAAACCTATAAATGGCAGAATAGACACTTGCTAAGGACTGAATGGTTTGTCAGTAGGTTCTTTTTTCTTGAGTAGTGAAATTATGTCAAAGACTCTTCAGCACTGTCGGGTTTTTTTTGTTCCAAGTAATGCTCATTTTCCAAATGAGGTGCTACGTTCTTGGGCAGAAGCATGATATTGGAAGAAAATGGAAATGCTCTAGAAAGTGGGATTGTCAGTCATTAACTGGGTAGCAGATATTCTTTAAAAACCTGCAATGTTGTCATTTTATCAAGTTTGAATCTAGGCTCTAGAAAGAGACAGCTGCTGTTTAAGTTCACTATACCTTTCCCTTTATGCGTATCATGTATCTGCTTCTCATAACTCCTCTTATTTATTATTCTTTCCATGCCTCCATATACCATCTCTCTCTTCCCCCCTTTATTCTTTGGTTCTTGGTATATACATCCTATTTCACGTGCCTGTTTGGTGTGTGTCTTGCAAACACATTTTTCAACATCCTTCATTTTTTCATCTCTCTATTGTCTAGAAATGTTCTCCTTCTGGACTCCATGTGGGTGCAGTGGTGTCAAGGTCTTTTGTAGCACGTCGTTCTCTTGTCTTGCGTCCTGATCCAGAAGCATGCTTACATAAGACGATTACTGAAGAATCTAATTGCTGTACTTCTAACAATTTCCTTAGTGCACATTAAAATGTAGTACATTTAGGAATGTATAGGCAAATTTGGGCAGGCTCTGACAGGGTTAAGAAAAAAAACATTCCTGACAGAGCAATATGCTGTAAAATTTCTTGCTGTCCAAGGTCTAAAATTACGAGGGTTTCTCAGTTAACCAACTACAAGCATTACTTGGTGTGGGTAAAATGAGGCAATGGTTTGTTTGAGTTTTTTTGCGCCCCAAGATTCTTTTGACAAATATCTGAAAGGTCTTTTTTTCCCCCCATGTTGAAAAATTCTTAGAGAAAATAGGTTTGAGCCAGACATATATTGCATATTCATGTTTCAGCATGGCTGATTTAAATTAAGAAAATTATTAGTAATCCATCTCGAAAAGCCCCTTATATAGGCACTGCTGTTAGATTAACCTAGAGAATCATGCAGTATCTTCTGAAAGTTCAGAGGTGTACGATTGTGTTGTAAAACTTCAAACTAACCTGGGGATGCCATCTAAGCAGAGTCCACAAATCATTTACAAGAAAAAGAAGCAAAAGAAAATTCTGAATCTTGAATGGCTTAGAGCATGTAGCGCTACGGCTGGGTGTGGATGAGGTTCATGCAAGTGCAAGAACACAGAATAAGGACAGACGAACAAGAAATACAGGTTTCACTACAGATACAGATGTTAATTTTCAAAATTCATTATAAAACAAGTAAGTATTAAATTATATGTTAGCGGTAACACAAAATCCAATGGGAAACAGTATTCAGGTCACTGCCAGCACAGTGATGCATTAAAATGTGCACCTTAGAGAGGAATAATAGCAGTAGAGGCAACATGGTTGTGAAAGTACTGTGATTTAATGTAAAAGAGGAATGGCATTTTAGCTTTGGAGTTGACTGACCTTTCTGTGATTAACTGAATAATCCTAATGACCTTTTGACATTAAAATTCATACAAATTGTTTTATGTGGTTGGTTTCTATGTATTCTCTGCATGATGACTGTAGTTTTATTGGCACATTGTAATGTGGTTAATACCACTTCTAGAATTATATTTGGGGAGGATTACTGAAGAGATTTTTGGCTAGGATAATCCATAAAATTTACTCTGATTCTTCAAATTTAAAATGCTTAAACCAATTCTTTTTCAGGCAACCTTTGGACACACTGTAGTGGAGAGCATTCCTCAATCAGCTGTCTTGACTCTTAGCTAAAAGATGCAAATATATTGTTGTAAAGTGATTTTTATTTTTTTTCCTTTCAGGCAATTGTACTTTGTTTTCGATTGCACTTCACAAAAGATAATATCACAAATAATACTGCAGCAGCTACAGTGCGGCAGGTAGTTACTGTTGTATTTGAGAGAGTGGTTGCTGAAGATGAACGATACAAAGGTGGGCATACCTCTTATTCCGCTTGCTTGCGCTAACCTGTTTTTTGGAGACACATCAAATGTTTATCTTTTTCAGATAAAGTAGTAGTAAAAAGTCTAAATGTTATAAAAAAAATCACAGACATTATTAGTTTTTACTGTCTTTTATACATTTACTTGTATTCGAAGGAGATTAAATCCTTAGCTATTGTGTCAGTCGAAGTCAGTACAGCAATATAAAAATCCTAGATTTTTTTAAAGCTGAGAAAACTGGTCTTCAGGTTAGTATTGTGAAGGAATTTGAGGTGAGGGTGTCATTTCAGGTGAAGGTAACTTAGATTACTTAGATTACCAAGTGTGCGATATGTGGCAGTAGTAGTTCTGAAGAGGACATTTATTGGAAGGAAGTGCTTGATATTCATGATCTTTGGTATTCAATCTAATGTTTATTTCCGTAGACATGATAAGTTGCAGAAGAATTACCTGGCTGTTGTCTTTTGTAAGAATGCTCAATGCGTACTTGATTTTCAGCAGTTCCTTTGTTCACAAAACTGTTTTTTGTTTTTACACAGATACTATTGACCAGCCGGTTGCAGTTCAAGGGAATAGTAACAGAAGATCTGTCAGTACACTGAAGCCATGTGCTAAAGATGCATATATGCTTTTTCAGGTAGTTGCGGAGCATATATTTATACATTTGCAGTTATCATTGTGTGCTTTACATCTCTGTAAGAAATTTCAAAAATTTGCTGCTGGTGTGTTGACAGGGTCCTTAACCAGAGACTGAGGCTTTCTTATGTACATTTATTGTAATTGGCAATGATGTGCTGTATCCCAGGGAGATGATTGGAAAATGAAGACAAAGTGGCCTTGGAGAATCTTTTACTATAAATCTTAAATAATAGCTAAGCATGCATGTCTACATTAAATTCAAGATTATTTTTTCTGTGAGCCAAACACTGCTACTATAGTTCAGTCTTGCTTCTTATGCTTGGCATTGTATATTAATGATGAGTATATAATGAAAAGTAGTAGTTGTATTCATCACACCAATAAAAAAATCTTGACTTAGCAAATTCACTGGTCTTAAGATATTTCTGAGGGCTGGAATGAACACAATTGTTACAAGGATATGAGCAGAGTTTAAAATTTCTTTTGAAAAGTTTTTTGCTTAATAATTTATGTAAAAGAAGTATTTGAGGAAAAGTTATGTTGAAATTGGAAAATTACTCATTACAAAGGAGGGAGAGAGTGTTGATTTTGTTGTATACTCAGAAAACTTATGCCGGTATATTAGTGCAGAGAATCTAAATGTTATCGTATTTTTTTTAAGGATCTTTGTCAGTTAGTTAATGCTGATGCTCCCTACTGGCTCGTGGGTATGACAGAAATGACCCGGACATTTGGCCTTGAACTTCTTGAGTCAGTCCTCAATGACTTTCCACAAGTGTTTTTACAAGTGAGTAGTTCTTGGAGGGAAAATAGGAAGACTTTCGTTCACATGTGTAGTAAAATTTACACTTCATTAACCACTCTTTAGCTTAATGTGAGTACTGGCTTTTCAAAAGGACTTGTAGCTTTTACATGTTGGGTTTTTATGATAGAAAAGTACTGCGTGCTTTTTGTCCACTTTTTTTCCTATTTCCAGACACTTTGTGTTTGTCCATTTTGTAGAGCATGTTGTACTCTGTTTCACTTTTTGTTTTGCCATTTATATCTCCTCCAAAGATGTGTTTTCTTATCTTGCATGATTTATGACAGCTCTGTAACTTAGTTTGTGGCATTGTTATTTCTACAAAAACATTAACTTCACCGCACTTGAAAGCAGCAGAAATCATGACTATGAATTGTGTAGATCACCACGATCCTACCGTAACACATTTTAGCAGAGAGTAGCTAAATAAAAAAGTTAAATATTCAATAAATGATGTATTAGCAGCCTATTTCAATTTGCAAAATACAAGAAGAGGGGTGCATGGTATGAACCTGACCGTGTCATTTCATCATACTTTTAGGTTTTACAGTGCGGTCTGCTGTTCTTCCTTTTCCTTTGAAAAGGAAAATTTCCTGAGCATGTAATTTATACTAAGATGTACATGACTTCAGAGTCCTTGATCATAACAATAAATGTAAATAAGATCCATAATCAGAGCTACTGATAGCAATTAAAGGATATCTGCTTATAATTTGTTCTGTTTTCTTTTTCAGCATCAGGAATTCAGTTTTCTTCTTAAAGAAAGGGTATGCCCTCTTGTTATAAAGCTCTTCTCCCCAAATATCAAATTCAGGCAAGGTTCCAGCACATCATCTTCCCCAGCACCAGTGGAAAAACCATACTTCCCCATCTGTATGCGTTTGCTGAGAGTAGTTTCTGTTTTGATTAAGCAGTTTTACAGTTTGCTGGTAAGAATATGTTCAAATTTTCTTCATGCAATTCTGTTTTTCTATGTATATGCCAGTATGATGATCAGTAGTAGTATTAATTGGTTCTTTGGAACTGTTGATGTATAGTGAGGGAAGAAAAGTCTAAATATTCTTTTCTTCATGTGTGTATTTGTATTTTCATGTATTCTACATTTATAATTTTATTAAGCATGGGTTTGTATAAATTCTCAGGGTAGATTAGATGTTATCTTTTCTGTACTTGACTACCTTTCAGTTAAGGTTTTGAGAACCTTTTGATCTTCTTATGTTGCTTGCCTGGCTTTAGATAATGTTGATTGCTGTGCCTTGTTAGTAATTGCTAAGAGGCTTTTGACTTGTGTTGCTAAAGCTGTTGACATAATGTGCATAAAAAACACATGTTCAGCTGTACTTAGGTCCCGAATTTTAGATACTTGCTAAAACAGATTTTTTTCTGTTTCATTTGTTTACTGTAGCACTGCAATGTCTTTGAGGAATTTAACTCCTTCAGTACAGTAGCATATGTTGTGTTAGCTTGGCAAAAATAATTAGGTATGTTTTTTATATAATTTTGAGTAAATGCTTGCTGAAGGGGTTTTTTAGATCCTCTGCAAAACTTGCTGGGATAGGACTCCTAAGATGAAACAAGTTTTTTGGAGAAAATATTTTGTAGGCAGCTTTTTCTTCTAATTTAATGGCTATAAACTGTATCTTTTAGGTAACAGAATGTGAAATCTTTCTGTCATTGCTGGTTAAGTTTCTGGATGCAGACAAACCACAGTGGCTAAGAGCTGTTGCAGTAGAATCTATACACAGGCTTTGTGTGCAGCCTCAGCTATTAAGGTATTGAATTGAGTTTCACTTTTACATAAAATTTAAGAAATCTTTTTTTTGGTGGAAAATCCTTCCTAAAACATTATAAATATGTAGAAACTTAAATGCAAAAAAACTCTTCAAGATAATTTTTTATAAAGCATTAGGCAATGCTTATTACCCAGGAAGGGCTGAATTTATAGTTATTTGAGTATTCCAAACCTTTCTTTATCAGTGTCAAAAGAGCATTTACCTGAAACTGAAGTTTATTATTCACCTAAATATTTGCAGTTAAAATGTCTTCTTAGTCTACAGTTTGGGACGAGGGGGGAGTTGCTGTTAAATTAGGAACTAAAAGCATATTTTGTCAAATACTCATATTTTATAAAATACTTTCCAGGTCCTTCTGTCAATCGTATGATATGAAGCAACATTCCACTAAAGTTTTCCGTGATATTGTGAATGCACTGGGGTCTTTCATCCAGTCACTATTTCTTGTACCAAGCACAGGGAACACATCAGCAACACCAAACCAAACTGGTAAAGCCTTACTATCATTTTAATTTTCCAGCATTTTCTTGTAATAATAAATTGATTTGATTCAGTATATACATTTGGCTTGGTACAGTTCTGTACTTCCATGTTCATTGAGGTGAAACTAGCTTGAGACAAACTAGTGTTTTCAGGCCTGGTGCAAGAGGTGATTTTATCTACCTGTACTGTGGGGAAGATAGAGCCCCCAGTCAGCAGAGCAGTGCTCCTGCATTTGTATCTGCTCCTAAAGAGACCAAGCTCCTTGATTCACAACTTGAGGGAAATTCTCAGGAAATTATTTCTAATTTCTGGCTATAACAAATTTCTCTGATTTCTCTCTGCTTGTGTGGGGATGTCCTTTATGGCAGTGTGCAACTGAAGTAGTAAGACACTGTTTGCTTCCTCCTGGGAGGCAATAGCTAACTCTTCTGGATGAAGATCAGGGGCAAAACTGGACTGGGGAAGCCAAGAGGTAGAAAGATCTGTGTTTGGCAGATGATCTTTGCTTTTTCTGTAAGCTGAAAACAGTCATTTACTAGAACTAAACTTGATTGTCTTTTCTTGCAGCCAGGGTTTTGGCATTTCACTAGGTGTACTTCATTTTTATAAGAAGAAATGGTCTTCCTATTAATGCCTTTGCAGGTGTTTACATCCAAGTTAAGGCTCTTTGCTTTTTCCTATGGTTCTGGAAGCAGGGGCCTCAGCAACAAACAGCATAAAAATAGTTTCTAAGGGTGTCTTTTGACATGCCTTCTTAAAAGAGAGAATAAACAGATAATCAAAGTATAATTATTATCTGTCATATCTACTATTAAATTAATAAGCATTCAAAAGTCTGGTGTTAGACTTAGGCCATTCCAGACTCATGAAGTCTGAATTCGAAATTGGTTTTAGCACTGATAACATGAAGAAGTTTGTATCAGTAACTGTTGTTCCATAGCTGTCAGTATGGAAACTGATGGAACACTTCTTTTAGTAGTATTTCTGGGTTAGTTTAATCCACTTAAGGTAAATCAGAAAAACACTTTTCATCATGTTACACACACGTATGAGAAGCCATTCTGAAATACTTATTCTCCTGAAAACTTAAATTTTGCCTTCATATGTGAAACAGCACTGCAGTAGGGTATACCTTTAGTGCTGCCACTACTTCTCTTGCTTATTGTTCCAGTTTTTCTCCTTTACCTTTTCACTTCTTTCTGCCTGAGTGTTTCTCATGCCTCTTTCTTACACATTTCTCTTTCTGTCTCTTTTCCTCCTATGGCCATGTCTAACACACAAAGAGCAGGTCAATGCAACTTAATTTTCAAACTGAATTTTCCGATTATAATGATAGCCTTGTAGTAGCAGTCTTATACATGTGTAGTTGGCTTTTGAGCCTCAGTTTTGCAACAAGGTAGCTGTTTCATAGGAGAAGTTGAAAGCTGCATCTACCTAAGTTTTGTGTCACTTACTATATTGGTGTGATGTAAGCCTTTTTACCACTTTAAGGAGTTATGTTGATGTAAAAATTGTTGTATATGTCTGACTGCTCAGTGGAGTCACAGAAAATGACACCAATGTAACTGTTGGTGTTAGTGGCAGTGTTCGGTTAACCATTTGTGTTTAGCAATATGATTTTGTTGTGTCAGTCTGTTAAGCTTTACTGTGTTAAAAGAATATACATAGGCTTCTGTGTGTATTCGTATTGCCAAAATTAGTTTAGTCTCTCTACATACTAAAAGTGAGCACGGCAAAATGGCAGTTGTTATACTGATGTGTTAGGTGCTGTGAGTCACCTTCTCGGGGACTCTGCCTCTCTCTCCCCATTGTCTGTACAGAGAGAATGAACTTGTGGTACCTACTCCTAGTAAGTATAGACCTGCTTCTATATGTAGGAAGTGTATATATACAGACTTCTTTATCCTTTTATCTGCTTTTTTGGGCTTCCTAAATGAGAAGCAAAATTTGTTCCCTCCTAGCTGTTGATTGGCACGTTGTCAGCTCTTCCCTGATGTGGTCTGTTTTCTTCTACCTTGGCATGGAACAGATTCAAACATTGCAGTTCTCTTTGAGTTTTTTCTTGTGACTTTTGTATTTCTGAAGTCTTTGAAATTAGTGATGATCTTTGTTCTTGGAACGATTAACCTCTCTTTCCTACTACTGAGTTCTAGATGCAACTATTCAAATAATCCTTAAGTTTTAAATGTCCATCTGACTCTTCAATAAAATATATATTGTTTTATCGAGATCATGTAAGTTTAGTTCATTCACAGAATGTTATGAATGCTGCTATACCTTTCACAGAAACTTTTTATTGTGACTGAAAATAAGGCAGCTGGTATCAATCAACTGTGCCTTTTAAACTAATTACTTTGCACATAAGATTGTATTTTAGACAGCAGAGGGAGCTCAAAAGTAGTTTTTTTTTGTTGGTGGTTTTTATTATCGAACAGGGCATCTCAGATTAATCCACATAACTTAAAAAAAAATAAATATGGAAAAAGGATGTTTACTGATAACTAAAATTAGATTGGTTAATTTTATCACTTTGTTTTTCTGAACAGGAAGCAATGCATCAGGGAATACTGGCTCAGCACAAACTAACCCGGGAGTGCTTGGAATGGGAGGAGGTGCAACTGTATTACCTGCCTTTGAGTACCGAGGCACTTGGATACCTATCCTGAATGTAACAGTACAAGGCAGTGCTAAAGCTACCTAGTAAGTACCTCTATCTTTTTGAAAATATATATAACAAATATTTTTATTTCCAACTTGATGGTTTAAGGATTTTTTTATTAGTGAATATTGAGGTCTTCATTTTACTGATGTTGAGGTATATTACAGATTTGCTTTTTGTCAGTGACATGAGATGTTCTGATTTTTCGCTATTTTGCCCAAATGCTCTGGATTCTGATCCAAATATCCCCTATCACTTTAGCACCTGTTGGATTTTTTTTTTTTCTACCATACTGTTGCTGTATTAACTCTTCACTTTGAGGCCTCATTACAGTATATAACAATTGTAGAATATATTTTGCTAGGTTGTGTAATGGCAAACATTGGGGCATTAAGCAAATGGGACATCAGTGAGAGTGAAAAATAGCTTTCTTACACCACCTTTACTGTATTTACAGTTTTTATTGAACAGGATATTGTTGTTGATATTGGCCAGGTTGTCATTCCAAACAATATATTGGCCTGTATATGAAAGTTAGACTGTGAATGCTTCTTAGAATGACCAGTTACTTTGTCATGACTTTGTATAATGGAGATCACGTTCTCAGTTTAGAGTTGTGAGTACTGTTACTTTTGAAATAATAGAAAGTTCTTTCATGTCAGTCATGACTACTGAGGGTCAGTCTTTTCCAAATTGGAAGTTATTTGTACAGTCCATGAAATTTTGGCATACTAATACTCGGTGAAATCAGAAAGTAGCCTGGATCTCAGTACTTTTTTTAAGGTAAAAACTCCTTTATCTGCCTTTGAGATACAGAAGGACAAATTCATCTTTAGATTTCAATAGTTTAACATGTATGTATTGATTGACTTTTTGTTCCGGCAGTGGCCATGAATGTTATTTTAGGTTACCTGACTGTTCTCAGGAAATGCAAATTTTTAACAACAAAAAAAGTGAGTGAAAGCTAGTTCATGCTTTGGTCAGCTACTACAATCTTGCGCTTTTCTTCCTTTTCTTTTTTCTTACTTTCTGTTCTTAACTGTCTCAAGAACATTGCAGCCACTGTCACAGTCTCCTGTGCTGCTCTGAACTTGCTTATGTCTTACCTTTGGATCCCTCCAGTGTCTCCATGATTCCCTCTGAGTAATTTTTGCATTCTCTTTTTTCTTCTGTGCAAGATTACAGAATTGTCACTAGCATGTTGTGTCAGCAGTTCTTCTCCTATGTTGTACTTTTGTCTATAGTCCCTGCATGTAAGGAGATTACTAACTGTAACTGTAGATTTGGGTCACATCTCGGCATTGATTCTCTCACATTATTAGATTTTCACACAATAGCCACATCTTACACTTCTACACAATTATTTAATTGGACATATGAATTGTGAACAGAGCTTGCAGAGGCCTTTTTTCCAGTATGGGCCTGTCTCTTCCCAGACCATTATGCCTTGTCGTCGTCTTTACATGAGGAAGGAAATGTTTTCAAGAGGAATAGACAAAGACTATTCAAGATTTTTCATGGCCATTCCCATGTAACTGTAACTACTCACTCATTTACTCAGTAGTTTGCTTTCCCATTTTTGAAAGTAAGAGTACATGACCTCAATCTCACAGGTACATTGTATACACACACACACACACACACACACACACTTATTTTCCGCGGGGGGGTAAAAAGTTGACCATTTGATTTACGTGTACTGCCTATGCCCCCAGATATCGAAGGCAGCCATCTTCAGGAAATTAGAGGTAATAACGGACGTGTTACATGTTCGGGAGAAAGAAAATCCTTTGTTCAGAAAAGAGTGGTGACGCCACAGCTTACAGTGTCTTTGGTATAATGTAGCTGGAATGCCTAGCCCTTTTAAGAGTAGATTGTAGAGCAAATGATGAAAATAGTGGTTGCTGGGGTAGCAGGTAGGTTTTGTAATGGACTGTCTCTCCTTGTGTAGATGCTGCTGCTGTGGCAGCTACAATCCGTTTCCTGTTGGATTTGTAACTCAGCAGTTCTTTATGTGCTTTTAAGGTAAAAGATGAAGAAAAGTGGCAATGAGGCTGCAGTTCCAGCATACTGATGTTTTAATTGCATGGCTTTCAGTCGTGAGTCATGTAGACATTTCCTCTTTGTACAAATAACTTCCATTGTTTACCTATGCATGTAGGTGATGAATATTTGGTCATATATTACTTAGCTATGACAGGCTTTTCCAGTCATATAGACTCAAAGATAACAATAATGGAACGTCTGACTTGTTCTCAATTTGTTATAACTATATTCACACTGTCATGACTTTCTGACCTATTTTCTCTGTTGTTCCTATGTACTTGTGTTCTCCTGACTAGGTTCTGTTGCAGTGGCTTTAAGTAAAATAATAATAAAAGTAGAATAATTCATTCAGTGATGCTTGCTTATATGTGTTCATTTTAAAAAATATTTTCTTGCAGATCTAAATACTATACTCAGGGTTTGCGTCCTTTCATTTACTATTTTTAGTGACTCATTTACTCTCTTAATGACTTAATCAAGAAGCTTGTTTTCTTGAGTTGTTATAAATCTTGAAGGATGGTATTTGGGGCCTGTTTGTACTTCACATTCATTTGGAATCTTGTTTTTTATTAATGTTTTTAATTGCAGTGGTACTGTTACACACTTACTTGTCATACTTTCCATTTTTTAGTTTGGAAATGCTGGACAAAGTAGAGCCACCTATGATCCCTGAAGGCTATGCCATGTCGGTGGCATTTCACTGTTTGCTGGATCTTGTCCGTGGTATCACTACCATGATTGAAGGAGAGCTGGGAGAGGCAGAAACAGTCAGTCAAACCACAACAGAGACAACTTCATTACCAGCACAGTCTTCAGAGCAGCGACACTTGCACTCTGTATCTGACCAATCAGAGAAAGAACTAGGTATATAAAATACAGCAATTTTACATAAAGCAGGATTGAAATAGCTCATGCTTTTTTTCTTAAAATTGTTTCAAAAGTGTATATAAAAACTTTTAATGGAGTGGGTTGTTTCGGTTTTTTGTGTGTGTAATGGGACAGCAGTAGTCTCAAAAAAACCCACACCACCTTAACTTGATGTACTGCTTCTATCCTATAGCACCTTAGCCATAGGCTCCGTCTGATGTATTAATACTGTTTTACATGTGTGTATGTGGCATGTGAGGGAGAGATAACCAGGCATTCTGTTCTCCAGAACTGCTATTCTGCCTTCTGGTGTTCTTAATTCTGCTTAACACTGAGATCCACGGTCACATAAGACAACCTGACTGAGAGAAATGTGGCAGTTAACGACCACATTAAAAGAAAAATGTGTTTCTAGTAAGAAGACAAAAAGATGAATGTTTTAATGGAGAGATTTTAAGTAAGATGGCAGCAGTTAGGACAGAACTTCTTTAAAAGCAGGAATAACAGGAACTGAGGCTTGTATTCGTGCGAAAGACCTGGCTTTCAGGAGTGGTGTTTTTGGCTTGCGTGCCTGGAAGCTGAAGTTTGTACCGACGCATCAGCGCTGCCGAGGCGCGAGGAGAGGGCGTGGCTTGTCCCGAGCGCCGCCCGCGTCCGCGGAGAGGGCGCTGCTCTCCATGGTGCTGCAGGCAGCGCCGGCTGAGCCCCGGGCCCTGGCAGGGCGTGGTGGAGGGAGGGTGGCGTGGAAACGATTCGAGCGGCTTATAGGACTGTTAGACCGGTATTTTTTTTTTCCTGTTAAATTAAAGAAATTAAAAAAAATCTGGAGAATTATAAATACCAGGGGAGAGTATTTTTCCTTCACTACAAAATTTCAGTGAGTTTCTTGTCCCACATTTATGCACTTTTGAATGCTTATTTTCACAGGCAAAGATTACAAATAGTTGTATATACCTTTGTCACGTTTTTTTGGGGTCTAATTTAGAATCAGCATTGCCTTGGTGACATTTTTTGCTTTAGCAATGTTACTTTAAATGTGACCGTTTAAATGATACTGGTATGTGTTTGTGTATACACATATATGTATGTATACAGACATATATAAAACCACCCTTTAAAAGATGCAGTAGAAAGCATTTGATTTGTGATAAAATTGAAAGTTAAGTAAAATATTGTGTTTCTGCTGTAAACAAGTATATGTATTTCTTTCAAGTTAGCAGAGCTGTCTGGGAAGAAATGGTGAATGCTTGTTGGTGTGGTCTTCTGGCTGCTTTATCCCTCCTACTTGATGCAAGGTATTTGGTTTTTAATTTCTCTTGATTTTTCAAAGATTATATTCCCAGCTATATTTTGAACTGACTTTTGATATCGGTCAAGTTTAGGGTTGTATGAGAGCACACTGTTCATGGCACCTCAGCAGAGAGGTTTGTGGGTTAATGATGGCTAGACTGAACAAGGTGTCTGTTAAGAGTAAACAACACAGAAGTCTCCGTAAGTCTAGCATCAACCATTAATGTATTTCAATATAGGACAATTAATTACATTTTCTAAGGCTTCCACTTAAACTATTTAAATTATTTTTATTCCTTTTTACTTTGAATGTTTCAACACATTGAAGTGATTCTGCCATTGTCCTGACTACTGTTGGTAAGAGGTTAAATAATATCTTGGCACTTGTTAATACTGTGCAGTCTTTGAAGTGGGAAAACCTGTTTACTAGGCAGTAACTTTGGTAACTTAATTGTCTCTTTCAAAGAGTCTTTTGTTATCAAACACCATTTTCTGAAATTAGTGTTAAATACCTCCTTATAGTCTCCTTTGCCAAGTCATTCAGAACTAAAGACCAATTTTATAGGAAATGGTTTTGAAGAATTTTCTTGACTAGTTATGCTTGCTCTGCAGTATTTATAGTGTTGACAGGTTTAAAGTATATGTTCTCATTGCTTTCAGTTTTGCTTAGCTGCCTGCTTCTGTGCTGTGGATTAATTCTTACTAAAAAATGTATACTCTTTCAGCACTGATGAAGCTGCCACTGAAAATATTCTAAAAGCAGAATTGACCATGGCTGCACTTTGTGGACGACTGGGTCTTGTCACATCAAGAGATGCCTTTATCACTGCCATTTGCAAAGGATCCTTGCCTCCTCACTATGCCCTTACTGTATTAAACAGCACAACTGCAGCTCTGACCAGCAAATGTAAGTAGGTTTTCCTTAACTGTGTTTCCATGTATTGTCCTCTAAACCTAAATTTTCTTAGGGTGTGATTGCAAAGATATGCAAGTATGTAGTATTTACCTATACAAAATTACATTGGAATCCTCAGATAGTATCTTGACAGCATGCTTTCCAGAACTGGTTAGTCTTGCAGCATCTGCTAGGTATCATTCTAGTCAACCTAAAACTTCCCAAATGCTTAGCATGTGTCAGAAGTTCATATTCCATGGACATCTGTCTATCATCCTAAAGATCTGTTAGGATATGTAATTAAGGTGTTCAAATTCTGAAAGGGTCTCTGGGCAACTTGGATACTTGAGTTGGCTAGAACATCCTGCATTTGTGGTGTACCACAGTCTTCTACAGTTCTCTAGTGATGGTAGTACTTACTAGTTGAATTAATGCTTCCCACATCCTGAGAGAATGTTGTAATTTGTGGGATAAGCCAGTTGAGGTTGTACTCTGTTTCTAACTTGGAAAATGAATTCCTATGTACTGAGAAATGCAGCTACCTAGCAAATATGCACATAGATCTAGCATTAGGCCTTTTAATACAAAGCAAAAATACCTTAGTCTGGGAACAAGCACCAGCCTACGAGCTCAGCGTGTTACTAGATTGTAAGTCTGTGAAGCAGTACGCATAACTGAGCTACATGAATCTCTTTGGAATTTAAGCAGTCAACTTCAGTTATTTTATATAGGTTACTCTTCTTTTTACAAGTGAGTTATAAAATGGGTGTCCTGTGGAAAACCATCATGACACAGCATTTGTGACACCTTAATTTTCTGAGTGCACTAATACAATGGTAGCACACAATAGTGATACCATTTACACACAATTACCACGGATAACTGAGTTGAGACACAGTCTAATGCTTGTATCTTAGCACAAATATTTCAGTCTCAACATAAAATGTATTAATTGTATTGCAAGCAATATCTAATAGTGAGAGGAAGTAATTAACGGCTCCTTTAACTCCAAAAGTCAATGACATAATAATCTAAATATAAATAAAGGTCTCAAAGTGAGCTACCTTAAAGCTTAATACTGTGAAAAAATTCTTTGGAATTGTTGGAATTCTTTGGAATGTGTTTGCCAGAAGGTGGTTGTTACTACAAGTAAGTATTGGATTTTAAATTTAGGTTTTTTTCTTTTCAATTTTCCTCTAGCATATTCCATTCAGGGACAGAATGTTCAAATGATCAGTCCCTCAAGTGAGTCTCATCAGCAAGTTGTAGCAGTAGGACAACCCTTAGCTCTTCAGCCACAGGGAACAGTAATGGTAAGTACAACTTGTGTGTGATCTCATCCTGCTTAACGGCTTCTTACTGCATCTCAGTATGTCTCAAAAACAGGCAACAGATGAAAAGCATTCTTACAAAGGTTATCTGAAATATTATCTGAAGCTTTTAATTTGGAACAGCGCTGGGCAGCAAAGTTCTCTAACTGTAAAGAAGACTTATGCTTGCGTTTTTTTCTGACTCTTAGCTTAGCAGCTTCCATCCATTCCGGTTGAAAAGCCCTAGGTCTCAGCTCTGTTATGTGCTTGTGTGTGAAGGCTCACTTAGATGTTTTTTTTAAGATAGACTCTGATTTTGTGGAGAAGGTGCACTTAACGCTAGAGTACTTGATCTTGTATCTGATAATAATGTGAAACTGGGAGGAGTGGGCAGTGATTAAGTTGTATTCAACCCCGGCAAGATAAGACTGAGAGAAGAGGGATAGTTACTGAACTACATCTCTAAAAAGATACACCAGGGCAAACAAAATGTAATCTTTAAGCTATTTAGTAAAAAATTGCAAGTTTCCTAGAAACACTGTTATTGTAGAGTAATAAAAATTGTGTGGTCGTTTGGGTTGTTTTTTTTTTTTTTTTAGCTGACTTCAAAAAATATTCAGTGTATGAGGACATTACTCAACTTAGCTCACTGCCATGGAGCTGTTCTTGGTACATCGTGGCAACTTGTCCTGGCTACTCTTCAGGTATAATAGGAAATATTTATGCTTTGCTTTTATGCCTTGCCTTTTTGCCATAATCAGGTTTCGAGTTTTTATGTGAGCAATAGAAAAAGCTTTGGTTCTAGTCATGGTGTACTTTGAATTGTCTTGAGTAAGTATTGTAGCATTTTCCTTGAATTCTGTTTGGCTGGAAGGCTGTTGACTAGCTTGAGTACAATGTTTCCCTGCCTGAAAAGGCTTTTCTGCTGAAAATGATCCTTTTGTATTTCAGCATCTTGTGTGGATTCTGGGACTGAAGCCTGGTGTTGGAGGTGCATTAAAACCTGGAAGAGCTGTAGAAGGGCCCAGCACAGTAAGCATGATTGTTCATTTTACAGTTAATGATTATGCAGTATTTTCTATTGCCATCTATAAGACACATTTCTGTCTCTTTTTCAAGGTTCTGACTACAGCAGTTATGACTGATTTGCCAGTTATATCCAACATACTTTCAAGGCTTTTTGAAAGCTCACAGTAAGGAAACTTACCTTATAGTTAAAATAATGTGTGTATATCAAACTTGGCAGTGTTTTGATAGCCGTTATTTTTCAGGTACCTTGATGACGTGTCTTTACATCACTTAATAAATGCCCTTTGCTCCTTGTCTCTGGAAGCCATGGATATGGCTTATGGAAACAATAAGGTATAGAAAGAGTTCTTCATTTTCTTTTTAGATGTTTTTTGTGAAACAGGCAGAAGACGTGTACATTTATCCTTAAAGCTAACTGTTTCTAATAATAAGAAAGTAATACATTTGATATTCTAGAGTAAAAAAAAATTATGAACCAGAGAATGTCTTGCTTATAATGGTTCATACGGTTACTAAATTCTCTGAACATTCTCATTGTGTTCCTACTATGATTTTTGTTAACTGAGCAATGTCATGTGTTTCCATTAATCAGACTGTGGGTGGATAAAACTTCTAAAAGCCTTTGTAATTTCAGAAGTTAGGGATTCTGAATAGTGCAGTATGTTCTGAGAGGTGTTCATTTTCATTTCAATTTTCTTTTATAATACACTTCAGAAAAAGCCTGACAATTTAGATATTAACCCCCCCCCGAATATTAATATTTACATAGGAAAATGATAATATTCCTGTCAGCCTCAGTAAACAACCTTTAGCCCAGAAAGGTTAAAAAACCCTGTGATTGAGTAAGATTGAGTATATATTCTTTTAGTCATAATCTCATCCCAGAGGAGAGTTTCTGAAAGTTTTTCCTTGATCTATTACACTACAGATAGTGATGACAGAAAATACGCTTTATAATATTTGATAATTACAGCAACAGAGAATAAATTAAAATAAGCTAAGTTTGTGTTTAAAATCAGTTGAAAATGAGAATAAAAAATCAGCAGAAACAGGAACAGAGAATAATTCCAGTACATTAGTCATTTTGACTACATGTTGATTTAAAAAAAAAAAAAAAAAAAAATTAAAAGAAGCTTATCACAAATATTTGCAGATGTATTTGGTGAATGGGAAATTTGTCATATTCCCGCAGGGCACTTATGAAACTAGTGGAAGATAAAGCGTAAGGGGATTCTTAAATGAAATATTCTATATTGTTTGTTCATATATAATTTTAACTTTAAAAGTTGCGATGGGAAAAAGCTATTTTGCTTGTAAAATATGTTATGAAACTGGTTGGGGGGAGGACTAAGTAAAAATGAGAGTTTTTAAAGGAATATCAATGCTCTGGTTAGTGTCAAACTTGGAGAAAACTATATGAACAATTGTGAAAGAAGTGTTCTGCATGGTATGCTGTTGCTACCCCCCTGTGGCTTCTCATGTAGTACTGCAGATGCTGTGGAAACTTCCCAGCCATGCTACCTAAGCTGTTGTGACAGTGTTCACAGCCTACTAGAAACAGTACTTCAGTGAGATTAGTTGTACCTTAGTTTATAAATTATAATGTAGCAAAAGTCTCTGACATTATCTGAGTTACCTCAGAGTCATTTGTTCAAACTTCATTTTATTAAGGAACCATCGCTTTTTGCTGTTGCTAAATTACTGGAAACAGGATTAGTTAACATGCACAGGATTGAGATTCTTTGGAGACCTCTGACTGGTCATCTTCTGGAGGTAACTAATTACTTTTATCAGTTGTACTAGAACTTAGTTTGTATTAATAAAGATCTTGTGGAAATGCATTTTTAAAGTGTAATGTTTTAAAAAAAAATCTAAATTTTATTTACATGTTTTGGTTTATGCACTTTGTTTTTGCAGCTTGAATGTATCACAGTTTAAATTTAAAAGTGAATGTATATATTTAAATTTCAATGTTTTAATATCTTTTACTAACTTTGTCTTTACGGTGCCGTCAGTCTTTATATGTTTTAAACACAACAATGTATAAAATGATCAATTTATTATGCTTCATATATGTGTTATAATTAAGGTAACACAAACAGGTTTCACTTTGCTTTCACATAGTACAAATATCTAGGAAGACTTTAAGATATGTTTTTTTGCCTTTACCGGATAGATTTAAGCCATTAGATTTACTAATAAAGAGTTTGTTTTAAAAATGTGTAAGCTAACATATTGAATGGTCTCTTTAAGTGAATACTGTACAAATATAAAAAGAGGTGTCATAATCCTATTTCAGTTTCTTAAGTATTCTAACTTCAACATTAAAAATACGCTCCATCAAGGAAAAAAAGTCTTAGATTTTGAATTTCAAACTAAAAACAGGTGATAATATAATTGTAAAGTTTTCATACTCTACACACATATGTAGAAGAGTGAAATGCAGGAACAGCATTCAATTTGAAGTGGGTAAAGGAGAAAGCTTTTCTTCCTTCTTTGCAGAAAGTTTCAGAAACTTCCTTAGAACCGGTGCCTTATTCTAAACAGTATTTAAGGATTCGCCATCTCTAACCTTACTTATGGAGATATCTCCACGTAATCTTTTATCCAGGAGAAGAAATTTGGATACCTAGAGGTTTAAAGACTTAAAGTATGGTCATCTCTTGTCCGCGCCCGCCCCCCCCACCCCCAACAATAAGGTTCACCATCCACAGCTTGAGACTCTGTTTTCATCTAGTAAGCAGTCTGTTTCAGTTTGTTATCCATTGTGGGTATTTGTGACTGTTTTGTAGGGAATACAGAGTCTACTTCAATTTGTTTTAAAGTACTGCTTTATTTCCTTTTAAACCTAAGTCCTTGAGGTACAATAAGGGAGGAGAAAACACCAGCTGCAAATTCACTTAAACACAGCCTGAGGGAAGAATTCATTCCCTGTCTCTCAAACTGATTATCTGGTTAGATTCAGAGCATCATGAAGTAGTTCAAATTCTCTCTTTTTTGTATAAAGTAATAAAACTATTAAGTAATTCAGGAGAGTAGCTCTTTCTTGTCTGCATTTTTTTATCATTAAGCTAGCTCTTCTGCGTCATCCTCCTTTTCATTTTGGCTAGTAGCTGATAAGGGAATGGTCCACCAAGCAAAACCATCAGCCTTCCTTATGATCCTGCCTTGGACTTTGATTCTGGATTCTCACACCATCTGAGCTGGGGCTGGAAGGATGGGTGGAAATAATTATGTAGATGTCAGTGAAACCACAGACTTGACTTACTTGTTTAAGGGTAATGTATCTGATATGGGAGTACAGTTCATACTCTGTGCAAATCCATTGCATAGTTACCATGTTTTTAATTTTTCTGTTCTAAAAAAACCAGTTAGCAAAACTATTAGGTTTAGATAATTGAGAGACAGAGAAATGAAGACATACATTTGAAACTTGAGCTTGAAATAGTGTTCGCTATCATTCTGTCAAGTTTTTGAAATACATGGAGTTTAAGGCTTATTTTACATTCACTATATATTTACTTTTTGTATTTGAGAATATAGAAGAGCAGACACTTTCTGTGGTGGCTACTGTCATGCTTCCTCACTTGATTACGTTAAGCAATGTGTGAAAGATGAAACTTTGAATTTTATAGTAGCTTAAGACTAAGTTAATCCAGAGAGATTCAGGCAATCATTGAAGAGTTGTTCGGTGCTTTTTAATCAATCATGATCTGAATTAGCACTTAGTATATTCATTTTGGAAAATGTATTGGCTTGAACTGCTGTGGTTTTCATTATGTTTCCTTCTGTGTCTTTCACTGCTTCCTATTGCTTCCTTACTCAGAAGGTATGTCTGTCCAAAAGATAAAAATTGTTTTACTACTAAACTTAATTTCATCATCTTGAGATTTATTGTATTGTTGTAAAAAAAACCCTATCGGAATATTGTAAGCAAATTCTAATATAATTAACATATCCATTTTTATATATTACATATATTCAAGTCTTGGTTAAATAAAAATGACTTTAAACAAGACATTGTTATGTTTTCAGGTCTGTCAGCATCCAAACTCCAGAATGAGAGAATGGGGAGCAGAAGCTTTAACTTCTCTCATTAAAGCAGGACTGACATTCAACCATGATCCTCCATTATCTCAAAATCAGGTAAAGTAAGTTTAAGAGCAGCAGCTTTTCTCCTTTTCTGGAACTTAAAAGGAACATGAAATCAAAATCTTCCCTAGAGGGAGTTTTCTACAGTTCAATGAATAGGAGGCATTCATAATGCAGCTTTACTACTGAGTTTACAAAGCCTACAGCTGTAATGTTCAGATGTTACTATTGAGAATCACCTCATGCATTCTAATGAACTACACTCCTTCCTTTTTCAAATGCATAACAAAGAGCCGTGATGCTTGCATGTTTTGTCCGTTTGTTGGAACAAATTATGGATTACCCTCATGAGTGCAAAACAATTCTAGAATGTTTAGAAGTATATACATGATGTGGTGGCAAGTAAAAAATAAATTGCCTAACCCTCTACATCACATCTGTTCAATCCATTATGAATAAAACAGTCTAATATTTTTACTGAGGTTCAATGGATAGTTTTTTCAAGGTCTCTTTAGCAGGAAACTGAGTCAAGTCCTGCTGGGTGAGCATAAAGTTGCATGATGGTTTTTATGCAACTGTGACAGCATGCTGTAGCTCCTTCCTGAGGGGCCTGGAGAATGGGGGTGAGGGGGGGATGTAGATTTCATGCTGAGATCCTTTATAAAGAGTTTTTTAGAACGGCCAGTCTAACACTGAATTTGAGCATTTAATGAATGAGCTACTGAATTAATTTAATGAATCTTCAATTGATACCGTATGTTTTTACTTTATGTAAATATAATTAAGGACCAGTTAAATTTTAGCATCCTTAATATACTTTATTGTTTACTTTTAGAGACTGCAGTTGCTTTTATTGAATCCACTAAAGGAACTGTCAAACATTAGTCATCCTGATATCAGGATCAAGCAGCTGGAATGTGTGCTACAGATTTTGCAAAGTCAGGGTGACAGCTTAGGACCTGGTTGGCCATTGGTGCTTGGAGTCATGGGGGCAATCCGAAGTGATCAGGGGTAAGTGGTGGAAATAAAATTTTAAAATCATGTAAGATAAGAACAGTAGGAAGAAGTCTGCTTTTATTTTCATACTTTAGTAACCACTTTGATAATAGCCATAATTTTATTGTAATATTTAGCTTATGAACAATTATACTAAAAAAAAATACAGTTTTTAATTTTTCCTGTAGCACACTTTTATTTTACTGAATTAGTCTTCTAGAAGACCAGAGTATTGTTCCACTCTACCCTCTCCTGTGGTCAGCATGCAGTATATACTGAGTACTCCTCGTTGTGACAATTCATTTGATCTTAACCATCTGCTGGACACATCTATGGTGCTTGCAGATAATTCTCTATGACTTAGCTGGTACTCACAGTTCCTTTGTTGTTTCTGTTTCTTCTCAAATCTTTGGGTAGTCTCTAGTGTGTGTCATCTTCTGAATGCTCTCTCTTTTTGTGGAAGCCTTCCTCCCTAAATGGCTGCTGGTAGCACAAGAATGGAATTATTTACTTGCTGTGGGTGAATCCCTTGGCTGACTGATGCAGCTGACTGTTGCCAACAGAGGGACAATGTTACTAGACTGATCCTCTTGCCTACAAGGGAAAATGAGAGGGAAGGTTGCAAGGAGGTTGTTTTTGGGGTTTTGTTTTTGGTTTTTTTTTTTAAATGAGCAGTGAAATGAACATCTGGCCCTGAAACTGTAAGCACCAAGAACTGTACCCACACGCTTAGACCATATTATTCCTTTGCTAGTGCTAGTCAAGACTAGCAGCAAGATAGGTCAGCAAATAACTCTGACATCAGAAAAATTCACCTTGGCATATCTCTCCTTTTGCCCCACCTTAGCTTCTGTCTTCTGGCCATATGAAGACCTCCTAAAGCCCCTTCAAATGCTTGAAGGATTTTGCTCTTGTGCCAGTATTGCTTGCTGTGGCAGTAGTACTCGCCCAAATCCACAAGGATGTTTGCATTCTTGGTTGTGAGCATCCTCTTTTTGGTAACCATGCTTCCTTGTGGTACCTGCTGTTTCCATACTTGGTGCAATGTGTCCTGTGGTTCCTACATGCCTTTTGATTTTCACTGTAGTTGTTGATGGATGAGAATCAACACAGATTACTTCTCAAGAGAGTCTTCAGATCCTTTTAAATCTCAAACCCATACCTCACTGTCAGATCTGTGTCAAGATGTTACTAATGTTATGTTAACTATTTTGTGTTATATCTTAGTCTCCTCCTGCAAAGCACATAGAATAATCTGCTTCAACTACATAGCACTGTTTGCCCACATCATACCAACTACAGTAGGAAAAAAAATTAAGCAAGCTTCCTTTAGCTTGGGAAACAACTGAGTTTCTTGCTTCACTTATAGCTGTGAGCACAAGGTGTGGGCACTATTATCATACTTTAAATATAAACTTACTGACCATGAGACTGTCTTCACAAGGGTCTTCGCTCTGGTCAGTGAACATCCTAGATTCAGGACAGAAATCCATTTACCTTCCGGGAGAACTTCTTGCCAGGCTGCTATGAATACAAAAGACGCTATTTTGAGAGCCAGTGATAATTTGGTTGCTTCTTGAGTGTATGGTACTAGCCTGCCAAACAAAAGGAGGTCTGTCTGAAGAATTTTTCAATGGAATGCCCCTGTTTATTTTAAGGATAGGTAAAGCCCTATATGATCTTAAGTTTGCGAGCTAAGCTTAAGTTTTTTGCATCTATGTTTACCTTTTTGGTGGCCACCTATAACATTAAGGTCAGTTTTACATTTTGAAGAGCTGTATTGTGGTTGCTATGAAGGACTTTGAAACCTTTGTCCCAGCACATAGTAGTGTGGGACATGAACTGAGCAATGAACTTTGTATTTGTTCTAGTGGCCTCACATTTGAAGATTAGAAAGAAAGGTTACTTGCCAATTAACTCAGCTCTTCAAAATAAGTAGGGTAACTATACTTTCATTTCCCACCTCCTTCCCTTCTCTCTTAGAGTCCTCAAAGGTCACATACCTGTGGAACTTTGTAGTGGAGAGGGAACTGCAGCAGTTTTGGCCCTGTTTCTCTTTATAGGCTCCTGTAATAAATACGGGGAAAGTAGTGTGTGAGCATTTCCTCTGTGAGTATAGCAATGATAAATCCTTTGATTTTATGTGGTAGGGTGGATGTCTCTCTGCAGTATGCAACATATTAGAGAATTATTAGTTACACCGTTATTGTCCATGTGAAGTTTCTTGTGCATTCCTCTGGCTTCCATATCATGTTTGCTGTTACAATGTCAGTGGAAATGACCCACCTAAGATTTTCATTTTGAATTAATTGAAAAAATTATTCTTTTATTTAGGATTCTGAAATATGTAACTGACATATCTGTATTCTGAATTTTTTCCTGGGATATATGTTCTGAAGGACATGAAGTTTCTGTGTTACAAACCTTTGGGATTTTTTTTTTGTACATTAAACATTAAGAAAAAAAAATCCAACAAAACTATAGTGAAATTTAAATGCAGCTTTCCTGTTTTGTATTATCTCTGCTCCACCACTCTCTTTGATTCCTTCATTGTCTCTCACTAAACGAGGTTTTGGTTATAGATGACGTTGCTGCTTCCGAGAGGTCCTTCTCACAGATCTTTTCCATACTACATTTTTATTTTAAGTTTCTATTCAGAATTTAATTCTGAAGGCAAAGTATTTATTGAAGGGTCTATTTAAATGGCAGATATTTTGAAAAGATTTTGTCTAACATTTGAAGCAAGTAAGACTACCATTATGTTAGCATGTATCTTCCCTAACAAATAATACATTTTGCCCACCTGTTTGGCATACTTTTAGTAATTTGCAACTGCTGATACAAGAAATTGTTCATAACAGCTTACTTTTTGGAAGATTATCATGCTCAACCTTGAGTTTTGTTTTGTCTCTTGTGGCTTTTTTAGAATGTTTTAGCTGACATATTTGAACTAACAAGTCCTGTAAAGTGGACTTTACTATGTAAAACTAGCTGAGGACCACTGGAGAGCCTAAACTTCAATGTCACTAACTAGTTAACATGGACTAAAATACTCCATCAGGATTTGAAGCTTCAATTTAATGTTACATCTCAAAAATCCCTCTAGTTGAAACATCTAACATGTTGCAAATTAATCTCAAAAACATTATTTTTTAAAATGCTATTTCCTGAGGTATTGTGTTCAAAACATTGCTGTCCTCTTGAAGAAATTTGAAATAAATGTGTGTGTGTTTTGTTTTTGTTTTGTTTTTTTAAGAGAGTCCTTAATACGGACTGCATTCCAGTGTCTTCAGTTGGTTGTGACAGACTTTCTTCCAACAATGCCATGTACTTGTCTACAGATAGTTGTTGAAGTTGCAGGAAGCTTTGGACTTCACAATCAAGAGCTAAATATTAGCTTAACTTCAATTGGTTTGTTGGTGAGTTTTGTATTAACCTACAGTGATGCTGCTTCTGGCTTTCATTTTCTTCTCTTTTTTTTTAATACAAATGAATCTGTAGTCAATTCTACAAATAAAAGCCAAAACGTATTTTTTGAGTTCTTACTGAACTCCCATGCTGTTATTTGGAATCGTATGTAAGTTGAGTGAGCACAATTTATTTTTAATCTGCCCAACTCCAGGGTTAGGTAAAGAAATAGTAGTGTGTTGTAACCATGTTCATCAGTATCTTATTTTTAATACATTGTTTCCCTTTCTGTTACTTCATGTATAACTGGGGCCTAAAAGCTGATGCAAAGAAAAATACTTTCTGCATCTTGCAGTATTTATGTGCTGATCTTCTTCCATCAGTGTAGGTAAATTAATATCTTGGTGTACTTCACAAAATACTTTTAAAGTGAAAATGAGAAACAATTTATTTCATGATCAGTAAGAACATTGTAATATTTTTATTGTACAACAGCATATGTCTTATTTATTTTGTAGTGGAATATTTCCGATTATTTTTTCCAAAGAGGTGAAATAATTGAAAAGGAGCTAAACAAAGAAGAAGCAGTGTTGCAGAAACAGGCAGAAGAAAAGGGGGTGGTGCTGAATAGACCTTTTCATCCTGCACCACCATTTGACTGTCTTTGGTTATGTCTGTATGCCAAACTTGGAGAACTGTGTGTGGATCCTCGACCTGCAGTTAGAAAGAGTGCTGGGCAGACGTTGTTTTCTACTATTGGTGCTCATGGAACTTTATTGCAACATTCAACGTGGCACACAGTAATATGGAAGGTATGACATGTACGCTGCCTCTGAAGGTTTTTTTTAAATTGCATTCATGTTTTGGTAACCGTTGACATGCTATTTTAATACCAGTTAGCTAGTTTATTAAGGCTTTTTAAAGATAAGATACGGTGGCACAAGTCTGATAGCATCTTTTGTTGGTTTTGTTGTTGGGGGTTTTTTCCATGCTTTCTTTTCTCTAGCCCTTAAAGCCTCTTATGTAATGTAATTTTTGTATCTTGACCATTTCTTTCTTACTCAGGAGTTGTATAACAAGGCTGCTCCCTTCCTATGAAGATGAATGTCTCCTTTCTTTGTGTGAAAATATGGTGATGTTTTGAGGGTCATGTGATTGGACTGATCTGATCAAGCTTTACTGTGCACTCTGTTTTGACTCTCTTATTTGAGAGCATCTGTCAAATGCCCTGTTCTAGATCAGTCATATTGAGTGTGCCTTATGGAAAAAGTCAGGCTGTAGCTGAGTCTGTTGCCTGTTGTACCTATGAGGTATCCGAGATCCATTGGTTTTAACCTTCTGTTAGTGCTAACACTCTTCTCAGTGGTTTTGATCATGCTGTTTCTAACCCTTCTCAAGTGAACAGCAGTTGGGTGATTCTCTTAGCTGTGGTAGAGACTGTTTAGAAGAAGAGAATTCTCAAGGTGAAACAGTGACAAAAAGGATAATGAAAAAATTACTGGGTTTTGTTGTTTTACTGTGAATACAACAATGTTATTTGAAAAGTTGCCTTTTTTTCGTCTTTTTCTGACTATTACAGGTTTTATTTCACCTGTTGGATAGGGTTCGAGAATCTTCTACCACAGCTGACAAAGAGAAGATTGAATCAGGAGGAGGCAACATTCTCATCCATCATTCAAGGGATACAGCTGAGAAACAGTGGGCTGAGACATGGGTATTAACACTGGCTGGAGTTGCAAGAATATTTAACACCAGGAGATACTTACTGCAACCTTTAGGTAAAATTTATAGTTCAAAATTACAGAAAGATACAGTAATAAACTTTCTGCTTTTGTATATGTTTTCAGTTAAAGTACTGGACAAGAATCTTAATCTTAGCTTAAAAGTGTGTTCTGTTGTGTCTCACCTCAAATGTGATGAAAATTATGGAGTTTTCAATTCATGCTCCTTATAGTCAAAAATTCTAAGTACCAGTTTCATCTTTTGTATCCCAGTACTTGAGTTAAATCTCACTAGTCACAATTCTGTGTGCCAGTTTTAATTTATAGTAGCCTGATAATAATAATTTTTCTGTTCTTCTGGTTGTCAGAACGTATTTTTCCTCTTGTCTTTCAAAGGTTATACAACATTTGCCTAGAACTCTTCCATGGCATCAGTGTGTCAAGTTTAACAAAGTGCTCTTACAATGTACAGAGAACTCACTTGTAAAGTCAGTGAAGTGTATAGCTTAGGCAAGTAGTGAATTTCTTAATTAAGAGATTGGACTTGTTATGACGTGAAAGATGTTGAGATTACCCACTATTTCAAGTGATTCTTTTTCTCCCCTCATGATACTTCTCCACTGTTTGTCTTGTACCGAGACAAACTCAGTTTGAATTACTTTACTGTTGTCCCTAATGCAGCTAACTGAAGTGAGTTCCCCTTTTCTTCTCCTTCCTTAAAACTTTACCTTTCCTGTTTTGAAGTTTTTTATTTTTCTTCTGTGAATGCTTGGTATCTTTATTTCTTTCTCTTCCTTTTTCTCAGGCTCTGTTTTTTCCCTTTCTTTTTTGCTTTCTCCTTATGGAAATTAAACATTAGGTCATTTACCAGCTATTGTAAAATATCAAATATTACTACATACAATTGAACAATATAAATTTATTGAACTATGTAATTCAGCATTCATGCCTGTTTTGTACAGAAAAATATTATGTTTCAGTTGAGGCTTCTAAAGAAGGATATTCTGATATAATTTCAAAACAACTTTCATTTCTAGTTTGGTTAACTAGAATTACTTAAATAAGTGACTTTCAAAAATAAAAATATGATATAAAGAATGTATAACTCACATAGAAAATTCCCCATTACATTAATATACCTTCACTATCTCATAGCATACAATTGTGTTTTATTTCATTTTGGTTATATGTGATACAGATATCAACATATAGCTATCAAGAATGTTGGTCATTTGCAGAAATGTAGTAGGTTTTAAACTATATTAAACTTGAGTTAAAACTGAATAAAATTTAAAACATTACAGGGCTTATTTTAATTAGTGGTAATTAATAATGTAGAAAATTGAAGGTTAAACTCAAACTCCAAAAATGCAATCTTTCTCCACAGTACAATTATTAGAGCATTTTAAAATCAATTCTTTATAAATGCATTGCATGGTTATAGATTTGATTTTTAATTCCTTGTGTGTGCTTAAGACTTTTTGAAATGAACAGGCATTTGGTAGGTATTGAGAACGAATTTGTTTCACTATCCTGAGTAAAGAAAACATGTTTTTCTGGTATGGGACATGGTATATGATGTCCCCGCCCCCCAGCAAATTTGACACAAACATTGATACATTCTTTCATTCTTCATATTTGTGTGTTCCTCTGTCACATTCATTCTTTCTGGTTATGGTTGAACTGATATGTTCTGAAAGTCATTCAAGCCATCACCTAACCTCATGAAATTTCTCTGTATTAAAGTGACAAGTACATGAACAGCCTTTTAGAGACAGGGCGGGTGGGGAAGAGGAATAAGAAGCCAGTTCAAAGTTGATTTTTTTTTTTTTTTCCCCTTCTTTTAAAATAGGAGACTTTTCGCAAGCCTGGGATGTTCTTCTTGATCACATCCAGTCAGCAGCACTCAGCAAAAATAATGAAGTTTCCTTGGCTGCTCTGAAAAGCTTCCAAGAGATCTTACAAATTGTTTCTCCTGTTCGAGACTCAGAGAAGCCTGACACACCACCTGCTATCAATGTTTCTGTACCTGTGGTGGTAGGGGCAACAACTGCCACTAGTCTTGGCAGATCATTCATGAGAACTGACTCCATAGGAGAAAGAATAGGAAGATACAATGGATCTGAACCACCTGTAATAACAGATGAGATTGAAGATTTGAATCTTTGGTGGGCAGCCTGGAACAGCTGGTATAGGATTGGTTCAGAAAGTACAAGGCCTCCAATTACTTGTGATAAACTGACTTTCATTCCCAGCCAGCCTTTTCTTACAGCTTTAATTCAGATATTCCCAGCTCTTTACCAACACATCAAAACTGGTTTCAGCATGGATGATCTCCGAAAGCTGGGTGTCATTTTGCATGGTGCTGTTTCAGTTCCCATCAGTTCCGATGCTTCCCCTTTCATCCTTCCATCTTACACTGAAGCAGTTTTGACAAGTTTACAGGAAGCAGTGCTTACAGCTTTAGATGTTTTACAAAAGGTAATAATGTGACTTCAAACGCGTGGTGAAAGGTAAACTACACTGTGCCTCAATTCTTCTCAGAACTATCGTGTGGTGACTTAAACATGAATTTTTGTAATTATTTATAATTGCACAGTGTACTGTATTGGAACAATCAGATCACCATTCCTGGTGCAGCCCAGGTGCTCTGCATTGAAAGGAATGGTGTAATCTTTATGAAATGTATTTTTGCTTGATTGCAGAAATACCTTAAGTGTGGTGTGTTTGTGGCCATTTACTTGTCTATCTAATACTACAGTATTGTACTGTTATGAGGGTCTGTACATGGAGTTTGGGGAATAGTCCCCAAACGGTATTACTTATGTGTCCAGGTACTGCCATAAACAAAATCTAGAAGAATAGTAATCATGAGAACTTTGAGTCCATACAAAATATAAAATATAAAAAGGTCTCTGGCAGACCACCTACCTTCTTGCCTCTTGTTAATCAGTTGTTTAAGGAAAATGCTGCATTTCTGCTTAAGAAATTCTTACTGTAGAACTTGTCCTCAAAGAGTACCCTTCATGCAGGTCAGTCTGTAAACAAGAAATTAGAGTGCCCTTTTTCTGGATAGTTAAAAAAAAAAAAAGAGTTTCTTTCTGGAGTTGTAAAACATGTCCTTACAACATACATTGTTCATTCAGAAAACTTACTTATTCAAAGGAAGCAAAGTTGATAATGAATGAGATCATGCATTTGTATTAAGCACTGCTTTAAAACAACCCCCCAAGCCCGCCCCCCCCAAAACCTACTTGGGAAATGCCAGAATTAAAACTATCCATGTGAATTGACTTCATTCCCTTTAGGCTTTCAAGTTGAGACTACTTTAACTATGTGGCCATACCTTTTTTTCTTTTCCCCTTGGACAGGATCCTGCTTCATTTAGCTCATAGAACACATGGAGCTTACTTAATGAGCAGCAATTCAGCATCTTCTTTTCTTTTTACTTGGTGTGGGTTGACTTATCTCATACTTAAACCCCACAAGCAGGGCAGAATCATTATCTTGCAGTCATTCCTTTAGTCTATGAGTTTAACAAGTATTCATGAATGTATTTTGAGAACAGAGGTATAAGATCAGAAGCTGGTATTAAATCTCAGTTTTGTATGTGGGGATATAAATAACATGAAGTTATAACACCAATCATCTCCGCTAAATTTTCATCCTTTTCCAGTCAGACTTGACCCTTTTGTACCCTTCCCTTTCCAGCAGCTCAGCCCTGCCCAAGTCATGTTTTCCCCACTTAATCACTCCATATATTCATCTCAGATTTTTCAGTTTCTTTGCTGGTCTCCTTATCCAGATGTTCTTAGTTCCCAAAGGCTGCAAGCATTAGTGCTCTTCAAAGAGGGGTTACCAGAGTTTTTAACATGAGGAAAAACTGCACCTTTTTTATACTTTTGTTCTTGTCAGGGTGTTAAACTGTTGTAGCTGAAGTTTTCTTAAACAATAACAAAAGCAGTAACTCCCTGTGGGAAACAGAGACATCCCCCCTTCCCTCTCCCATTCAGAATGGTTAGCATGGCAGTAACACAAGCCTTTGCCAATACAGACTTAGATAGGAAGTCTTAGGTACCTCAATTTATACAGTACCTCCCACCCCATCTATAGTTATTTTACTAACAGAACAGCACTGAAGTCACTAAAAAGATAGGTTGAAGTATATTTGGACGTAGTAAGTTCTGTGAAGTCGCATGATTACTCCTCTTGGCTGTATAACACAGTACAATTGACATGATAAGGCAGCAGCCAGTGCTGATGTGGAGCAAAGGCCATTGGTCACATGGTTTTGCTGGAGGCCACAGTATTTTCTTCCTCTGCTGAAATGCATTAATGTTCTTGGGAGTACACACAGAAGCTAGTGGAACAGTTGAAGAAGAGTATGTAAATACTTGCCACCTTCTTTTAAACAAAATGTTTCTTAAATGTTTGCATTGCAGGATCAGATTAAGTTTTGTTCTTTGCTGATACAGGAAGATTTGGGTCAGTTCTGAGTTTCTAAGAAGTTCTGGAACATCCTTGTAATTAGAATAGCATGAAAAAACCTTGACACTTTTAAGATAGAGCCTCTGACTGGTTTAATAAAGAGATCTTATGATGTGATTGCACTAGCAAAGGAAATTGCATCTCGGGAACATAGGACTGGAAGTGAACCCTGGTTCTCCTTTCAGGCTTCGGTGTATTGAGCCCGTTTTACACCCTTTGTTTTGTTCTTAGTTTTCTTTTTATTCCTCATTAGAACTTGTTTTCAGGTCTTTCACTGCCGTAGTGTAAGTGCGTGCTTCATCACTGTAGCTCAGCTGAAGTTTGCCCAAATTCTCTGACAGTATTCACTGCCTCCCTACATTCACTCTGGGTCAACTCTACAGTGAGCCAGCTGGCTCACCAGACAGAGGAGCAGAGCTACATACTTGGGGATCAGGTACATTTGAATTCTGCCTCTGCAGGTGGTGTGGATACAAACATCTTGAGCTGTGAGTGTGGTAAACTCAAGGCTATATTTACATACACTGGCAGGGATGGTAGAGACTTAGCTATGGAGAGCTGTACAAAAAAAAAAAACCCAGTAGTCCATGACAGGAGTTGGACTGGGAGTTGTTAGATAAATCTGAACTATTAAAAAATGTGAAGGTTAGTAGCAGAATGCTTTAAAGCATAAATTTCTGAACCTAAAGTACTGTGTCAGTTTTTACAACAAACAATGATCTGCAGAGTATTTTATTTTAGAGTATGTTTGTGTTTTGTTGTTGCCTGATGATTACTTTTTGATTTATACATATCTCTCTACTTCAGTGTGTAAATAAGTGCACTTAATGCTACTCTGTTTTATAAGCAGCTCTTAGAGAGTATCTTAAAGATACTTTCAACATCCTTTGTCACACACTTTGCTAGGCTATTTTTGAGTTTTTGATATGCTTAGATAAAAGTTAACCTGGTGTCAGTCAGAAGCATAAGCCTCTTTCATCTAACTGGAATTGCTTTTCAATTTTCAAACCCAGTTCACCTAATCCTCTTTTTTTAATATTATATGGATAATTTTTAGAGTTGAAAATACCCTAGTAGACTGGATAGAAAACGCTTCTATTTTGTAAAATAAAAATTTTACAAGAGTTTCATAAAATACGAAGAATAAGAAGCTACTCATTCGCAGACTTCAGGTAGGAAGTAGTTACTGCTTTTGTTCACCAATACAGAAAAAGTAGCATCTGAGATTATTTTCCACTGATCCTGAAATGAATAATAATGATAATAAAAATCGTAACAATGTAATGGCAAATGTTTTTTGAAGTTTTGCCATTATAGATGTTAAGATAGTCTTTCGTGGGTAATACAAGTTGCATCTGTGCAAGTAAGTTGCATCTATACAAAAGTTATCCGGGGGTTTGTGGATGCTCTCTTTCCCCTTCTAATCCATGTGCTGGTACATAAAATAATTTTTTAAACCTTTTCTAATAGGCATGTAATCTTGCATTAACCTGTTTAAATTTAGTGCAGTGACTTTAGTGCAGCAGCATATCAGCTGAAATTGTTTTACAGGGTGTTGAATACTTTTAGATCAGCAACTAAGCTTTTAGTCTTCTGCCACACAAGTGAGTATCTAGCATCAAAGCATCCTTTTCAGAGTTCAGTACAGTCTTCAACTTGAGCACCAGAAAAGGAGTATGGCTTTTTAGGAGGAGTGCTGCACTATATTCATAATGTTGATGAAGCTTTTTGAGCATTAGACATGTATTTTGAATTGCAGGAGCCTGAGGAAAAGGGAAAGGCCATTGATTCATGCAGTGTTCTGCTGCAGGTTGCCTGAAGGTGCAGCTAGGTCTTAGGGTGATCTAGTGATGACAGTGTCTGTAGCCCCTGTTGGCTTGCTCCCTCTCCTGGCTAGGAACTCAGGATATTTGCTAGCCCATTGGCTGCCACAGCTATTGACACAGCCCCAGCATGGAGGCTGCACTCGAACAGCTTCAGAGCTGTTGGCAGCTTGAGTGAGTTCAGCCAGAACTTGTCATGGATGACCTGTGGTTAATGAAAAGAGGGTTTGATTCCTCCTCAGTGGAAAATGACAGTATGAGCACAAGGTCTTTTTGGGGAGCAATAAATAGACTGTTTCTTGAAGCTTTGAGAAGAGAGACTTTGGGAGGAGAAGCAAGACATTTAAAATTACAGAAAATAATTGGAGTAACTTCACAGAATCATTGTATCTGGCTTTGAAAATAAATGCCCTAAGATTGCCTTGGGATTTATGTTGCAACAGAAAATCATTAGCCTATGACAACGTGATATTTCACTGACATCTTCTAAGTACACCCTTCCTGAAATGTTTTCCACTTTAAATAAAGCAAGATTATGAGTTTCAGCTATACCAAAATCATACCATTCTCATCTTATTTATGCTTCTTTCTGTAAGACACAATTTTAACTGCTTAGGAAAACTTTGTATGAATTACTTCTGAGATTTGAATGTTCCGTGAGGTAGAACTTAAAGAAAATGTGGCTGAAATCAACAGACAAGACTTTTATATAAGACTTATGTTTTTCTGTCCTGTCAGTTTTTAAAGAAAAGGTATCTTTTACTGGACGAAATGAGATAACTGTATTTACTAAACTGTATAGGCCCATGAATCTTGCCACTTAACTTACTTTAATAAAATAACAAAACTTACTTTCCCTAAACTGTTAGAACTATACACTGTCTTTTATACAGCATGTTCTTGCATAGTCTTTTGGGAATTTTTCTTTAGGAGCTCCTTGTACTGATGCAGATTTTTGAATGTAGAAGTTCAGGATATATATTAAGCTTTTGTATTTCCTTTTGGTATAGGCTATATGTGTGGGCTCAGAAAGTATGCAGATAATGTATCCTGCAATCTTTGACCAGCTGTTGGCATTTGTAGAATTTTCCTGCAAGCCTCCACAGTATGGACAGCTGGAAACAAAGCACATTGCAAATGCAAAGTATAATCAGGTAATTAATTAGAGATCTTGCTTGTTTCACTTCATTGGTGAACCCAGTTCAGCTTCAGATACAGGTTGTTTAGCAAGAAGCATTTATTTCCATCTGTAAAAGCTTTTCTGTGCATGTTGTGTAGTAAGTTAATTTATCAGTATTTTTTTTACATGCTTTTTTGTTATTTTCGTTTGCTACCTTTGAACTCTGCTTTGTTTTTATACTTTTATTCCTCTGCATAGGAAGAGTCTTGCCTGGACACCAGACATAGTGAATGTGTCTGAATTTGTCCAGTGAATTAATCTAAAATAACTTGTCCTACATGTGATACCAAATTTAATAGAAAGATACAATAACTTTGAATGGAGAAAATTCCCTCAAACTGCAAATTTTTGAATTGCACGTGCAAAAAGAAGTGGGACATGTTCAATAATTCTTTTTACTTGTGTACTCTGCTGTTCACTAAGCATGAGCATCTGATTCAGTGTAATCGAAGAGGTAACTATTATGTATGTATTAATTCTTCTTATTCTATTTGTCCTGCAACACAATGGAATCACACTAGATACAACTATTTGCACCGGTGAGTTAAATTTCCTTAAAGATTGTCCTAATGTAGTTGTCTTGCCTAGACTGCAACGTTTCTCCTACGTAAATGTACTTTACTTCAATGTAGAGTACATTCTCATATTCAGACTACGTTGTATTTGCAGTTTTGTTGCTTGGACCATATTCTTAGCAAACCTTGCATGCATTAAACTGAGAATTCAATGCAAAACATAAATTTTCTGTTCCTTAATGAATATGTTTTCACATATAGTTCAGTAATTTACTAACTTCTTTTCCTAGGCGGAATGGGTAGCACTGAATTATGTACCATTTGCTGAGAGATCACTAGAAGTTGTTGTGGACTTATACCAAAAGACAGCTTGCCATAAAGCTGTGGTAACAGAGAAAGTTCTTCAAAACATTATTAAGGTAAAAGTTTGTCCTGTGTATGCTCTGAATTTAATGAGCTTATATAGAAAATCATGAGTTTTATTCTGAGCTACTGTTGATAAACACCTTCTGGGAAGCTTAAAGCTTTAGTAAACAATTTGATATTTTATGAAGATGAGCAGCAGGTAGTAATTTCTTTTGAAGCTGCAAGGCTATTGATTAGGCTAAAAGTATTGTTCGTTAGCTGGATGTGGTGGGTTGACCCTGGCTGGATGCCAGGTGCCCACCAAAGCCGCTCTATCACCTCCCTCCTCAGCTGGACAGGGGAGAGAAAAATATAACGAAAGACTCATGGGTCCAGATAAGGACAGGGAGAGATCACTCATCACTGTCTTGGGGAAAACAGGCTTGACTTGGGGAAATTAGTTTAATTTCTTGCCAATGAAATCAGAGTATGGTAATGAGAAATTAAAAACTAAATCTTAAAACACCTTTCCTCCACCCCTCCCTTCTTACGGGACTTAATTTCACTTCCAATTTTTCTACCTCCTCCCCCCGAGCGGCGCAGG